GGTCCAGCGTCGGCATCGGCGGCATCCTTGTCTGGTCCAGCCTCCGTGTCTGCATCCTCGCCTGCGGCAGAGGCTTCATCATCCTCATCATCACCTGCTGCATCAGCTTCGGCTTCGCCTGGCCCGGCCTCTGCTTCAGCTCTAGCCCCGCCTGGTTCAGCTTCAGCAGCAGCTTCTGCCTCATCCTTCTCCTCATCCTTGCCTGGTTCTGCTGCTGGCATGCCGCCATCCGGTCCACGTCTAGCACCACCTCATCATCACTGGCCGTTTTCTAGGCCGCTGGCTGGTCGTCATCGCCATTGTGGACGCCCTCCTGAACGAGGTCGCCGCCGCCACTGCCTTCCGCATGGACGGCCTCCTGAACTGTTTGCGCGCCACCACGGCCTTCTTCGTGGCCGGCCTCCTGAACTGTCCCATCCTGGCCTTCTGTGCTATTGGCCCCCAGGCCGGCCACCTGAACTATGTTTCGGACTCCCAGTCCCCTGTGTGTTTTGTTAACGTTTTGTTTGGGACTCTGGGGCCTCCACTTTTGTCCTGGTCCAGTCCCTCTGTCCTGGACCCCCTACCGCCCACCCGGGTCTGGTGGTGTTTTTCTGTGGCTGTCGGGAGCCAGCCCTTGGGGGGTACTGTCATGATCCTGAGTCCATGACTTGGTGATTTTGTGTTTGGTGTATTTATTGTTATTATTTTCATTATTATTTGTGGGCTGTTTTGGGATGGTTTGTGTTTTGTGTTTTAGATACTGGGTTTCTGGGTTTGTGCTCCCTCTGTTGGTCCCTGGTGTTAGTGTTCCCCTGTCTCGTCAGGTTAATCAGGTCCAGCTGTGTCTTTCACCTGTGTGTGTGATTTTTCCCAGTGTCCCTCTGTGTATTTATAGTGTGTGTTTGCCTCTGTGTTACCCTGCGTACTCTGTATTTCTCCGTGAATCCCCTGCGTGCTCTCCCTGCTGTCCTCCCTTCATGTTCAGGTTTGCTACTCTTTGATTTAGTTTCTCCCAGTTTAGTTCATCCTTAGTTGTGTTTTGCCATCATCACTTTATGTTCAGTATTCTTAATAAATCACCCTCACATCTGAATAAGTGTTGCATTTGAGTCCTCCTTCCACACATCACACGGCTGCTGCCCCAATTGTGACAGACATGGTAGCTACAGAAGTTTTTACAACTCTTCATTATGTGTGTGTGTTCACATGTGTATATGTGGCCCTATAGTAGCTCCACTTGAGAAGCAAAACAAAAAAGTTAAGTGCTGTAGTGCTGGAGGGTTGGCAGCAGAGTTTCATAATTTCATTGCGTCTGTAATGTCATGAAAAGTAAACTTCACCAACCACAAAAGCTGAGTTTCCTCTTACATTTTTGACTAGCTGCTGCGTCACGCACTAACCTTGCCTCACTTCACACAGATAAACAGAAAAAGGAAGAACGTTTACTGTAATACTTCATAAAGGATAGAGAAATATCTTATTTTCCATCATGCACACACCAAACATCACCACAGAAGACCGGATATATGGCTTCATTATGGTGATAGGTCTCGCCTCTCAAAGTGGCTCACTGGATTCGTCTTCGCTGTCACATCTCAAATCACCCAATGTCGTTTTCATGGTCAACCTGGTCATCTCAGCCTGCTGCTCATCCTCACTTTGCATATGAGGGTCCCCTTTCACGCCACAGGCACTGTGTGTGTGGTCAAATGAATGGCAGCAGCCTCATGGCCCTCTGCTCACTTCTATGGCTGCAAATAATGTGTCAGCATTATGTTTTGGGCATTGTCAGGAAAGATCTGTGTGAGCAGAGCAACTGGTGGAAAGTTAACATTAGGTATTCACATATTCTGACAGTTTTGTTAGTTTGTAAAACAATAATTGTACAGATCTACATAATGCTGCTTTGTAAATATAGACCATCTAGTATCCGCTTAGTACAAATAAGAGTCTCTTGTAGTGAAATAAGGGGAATTTTCAACCACACATTGGGCACAAAGTGGTAAATGGGTGATTGCTGGCAGATAAAGAGCCCACTTCTGGCAGTCGTCCAGTACTGTGCTATGCGTTTCCCATGTTGCTGACTGATATCTTATTTGGAAAGTTAAATGGGCAACATTTAGTTACTGTAATAGCTTTTTTTTTCTGTATTGACACATTATCATTTGCTAATTCAGTGATAAACTATACCTTTTACTCTACGCATAAAAATAAGACATGGTTAACTGGTAGAGCCCTATGAGGTATGTTTACTATATCATACCAACCATGTATTTATTTAATTTAAAGCAAAGCGGTAACACTTTGTTCACAGGCAGAACATTCCGTTTATAGTAGTGTTTTTTCTGTATTTTAACAGTTGTGGTTAGACAGGTTTTAAGTCCTGTCCTCTTTTTCTTTGGTTTTGCACTTAAAGTTTTGCATGAATTCTGATAAAACTTTGTAGGTGTGTGGAGTGGGATCATATTAACGCTTCATTAAAATTTGGCTTACATCCACCAAGGTCTTCAAGGTCAACTTTAATGATTTAGTGGGTGAAGAAAGCCTTATAACTTTAACTATGGTTCTTAGAAGTATGGTGTGTATGGTCAGCAAATAGAAAGCATTGCATAAAGATTTAAAATATCATGTCACATCTGATCCCTGACGTCTCCTTCAAGGTCCAGAGACTGATCTGAAGTGATAGCAATGCTACTGTAAACTGTAGTATAATATTATAGAATCAGCTCAAGTCATTCATGTCCTGTTATACACGTTACCCATTAGCCACTGCTACAAAGTCTTTGTGTAATCAAAGTCAATTCAATTCAAATTCACAATTCATTAAAAAGCACCTGTATTTGTCCCTAGGGGGCAATTAAAAAGACAATTAAATATCTGTCCTGCTACCCTTATCTGATTTTTGCTGTACTATGAACCTATTAAAGTATTTTAAAAAGAAAAGAACAAAGAGAACAAGATGGATATATGTAGAATACAGCACTGTTCCCTTATAGGGTGAGCTGGAAGGAGACAAACTTTCTGTCCGTGCTGTCTGGGTACCTCGGCTTTGTCCCACAGTCCAAAGGTATGCTTGTGAAGTTAACTGGTTGTTCTAAATTGGCTGTAGATGTGAATGTGAGCATGAATACTTCTGTCTCACTGCATTTGTATTGTGATAGACTGGTGACCTGTCCCTCCTCTCACCCACTGACAGCTGAGATAGACTCAAGCCCAAATTAGAAAAGATGGAACTGGATGGATGGGTTTACAAGCATACACGGGAACACTGGTGTACTGCCTGATGGTTTTCCATAAGACCAGAGATCGACAACCTACGGCTCTTTCGCCCCTGAGCTATGGCTCTTACCTGGCTTGCAGATTTGGGTAAAAAAAAATATTAAAAAAGTAAAATTAAATAAAACTAGGAACATTTGAAATGTTACAGGCATAGTCTCCCCTTTAGGAAAGTAACCTGATGGGTAATGTATTCTGTGCCAGAGGCTGAAGTGGAAGACAGGCACGTGCGCGCCAGCGACTGAGTGAAGTGCAATGAAGTTTACGGAGATTGGGAAAAAGAAACCTATGCTTATAGTACTAGCTAGTGCAACCAGAGGGGCATGTAAAGGACCCATTTCTAAGTGAAATGTTAGTAGGCTATACCAGACCAGGAAGCTATAGCAGCTACGAGATGAACTCTGACTCACACAGGCACTTGAACGCAGAAGCTGGCAGTGTTAAATTTACCTCAAAACCTACGTGGGCGTGATCTGTGCGTATCAGGTGATTCGTCCACACGTATGTAAGGTTTTGTGAGCGAGCGAGAGAGCTGTTTCGTGTAGTCTTATACATTTGTACGCACAAAAAGGCTTTTGATAGTCAAAATGATCGGATTCTTGAAGCTGATCTTAATAAATTAATTATTTACTCAGGTTTGGATGTACGCGTTTGTAAAATAGTTTTACGTGTGGTCAGATATTTCTGTGTGGATTGAAGCACGCGCATGAGTCCTCTAAAGTTACACACGCATCATTGAATACGTTTGTAAAGCTTAGTTTACGCTTTTGAGACATATTTCTCTCCATATTTTGGAGGCCTGCATATCTTGAGATCCGCATAGCAATGCGAGCAGGTTTTCTCAAACATAAACTACAGGAAGTCCAAACACCTTCTTGCAGCCCTGATATGGAAATCAAACAAAACAAAGTGAGAACACTATTATTTAATATGCTGTCATTTTCAATCACAAAATATCTATAATACCTTTTGCAAATATCTGTATATGTTCGACCCTGACCTCAAGCTGTTTTATTGTCGCCTGTTGAGAAGAGGACAGTACACTGAAATAGACTGAAGTCATAATTTCATGCAAAAAGCTTTCATGATTACTCTTTTTATTTTAAAATTATTACTCCACTGCTACGTTTTATTTATTTGAAAGTGGGCTGTTTGTTATTTGATGAATTTTCCATAAGGTGTGAACTCAAATAGACCTGTGGGTGGAGAGGCTAAAATGTGTTTTTTGATGTTAAAGGTTGCCGTCCCCTACATTAGACATAGCCATATTGCGTTAACAATTTGTTTAAAAGTCCTACAATGTCACATCCAAAAAGTTGGGACACTGTCCCAAATGTCAATAAGACATGTAAAATATTTACAGTGAGAAAGTTGGAATCTGATTGCAGCAAAATATCTTAGGAGACAGAGGCAACAAAAGCTAGAAAACAGAAATAATGAGAGCAATATTTTGCAGTTTATTGGGTTAATAGGCAACAGATCAGTAACATGAGTTGGTATAAAAGCAGCATCTTAGAGAGGCAATAGTTTCTGTGTAGTAAAGAGAGCCGCATGATAAAAGTGGCTCTGCCATCCAAGATCACAATATCGTCAAAGCACAAATGTAGAGGAAGAGCTTATGAGATGAGCTTGAGTTTCCTGTAGTGAGACTAGTTACAGTCACAAACTAGTCACGCCTCACTCACAAAGAAAAACCACACAAAGAGGAACCTTTGCCACACTGCTTCCGTTCTTTAAAAAGGACATTCAGACATTTCTTTTCTCATCATGAACACATCAAACAGCTCCACAGAAGATGACCGGGTTTATGCTGGGATCTTTGGCTGCATTATGGTGATAGGTCTGCCACTGAATGCAGTCTCACTGTGGATTCTTCTTCGCCGCCACAGCCTCAAATCACCCAACGCTGTCTTCATGGTGAACCTGGCACTCTCAGACCTGCTAGCCATCATGTCTTTGCCCATGAGGATCTACCATCATGCAACAGGCACCTCGCTGGGAATTATCACATGCCTCTTCAGCCTAATAATCTTTCGCAACAACCTCCGCTCCAGCGCCTCCTTCATCACCTTCATAAGTGTGGACCGACTGCTGGCTGTGGTTTATCCTCTGAGGTCTCGCCATCTTCGGACCTCGTGCAATGCCTGGAAAGGAGCAGCACTCGTCTGGGGGGTTTTGCTGGTGGTAAATATCCCAGAGGGCATAGGATTTGTAAAACACGTACAGAACCACACAGATCACATTTGTTTTCAATCTCATTATTATAAAAGTGTAACACGATCAGCAATTATTTACCTTCAGATTGTGTTACTGGTCACAATGCTAGCAGTCAACATTGTGTGCACCGTTATGGTTTCTTGGACTCTACACAAACATCTCAGTGACTCTGCAAAGGTCAGAAACAAGGTGAACGTAATGCTGATTTTTGCCATCAACTTGTTTATATTCTGCACATGTTTTCTGCCCATGCCACTACACGCAGTTACAAAAAGCAAAGGAAAAATAGCTCCACTGGCATTTCTGACTGTTTTGAGCTGCTGTCTGGATCCACTGATGTATTATTTTTCTTTTGACTCCTTCTGGAAGAAAAAAGAGGACGTGGGAAGAGAACTATAGATTAGTGACCTGCTAGAGTTGCTATCAGATGTCCCATGATAAATGCCTGTTTTTTTGTTTTTAACAAAGTAGCTCGTTTGTGCACAAGATTCTTAAGTAGTTCAACCACATGCAAAGTTTTCAGCAGTTAACCATCAATATTCATTTCTTCAGCAACATTTGCGTGAAAGCCAGAGACTGAAACAGCAAAAGCAAAGGCTTGGGTTAGTGGCTTCATATTTTATTTTCACTGCAACATGAAAGCCTCAGCTACAGAAAGTATGGGAAAAGGCAGCAAATCACATAATTGATTAAATCTACTTTATATTTGTTCACTTCACAACCAGTGTTGCCAACTTAGCGACTTTGTCGCTATATATAGCGAGTTTTCAGACCCCTTAGCGACTTTTTTTTCTAAAAAAAAAAGTCGCTAAAAAAAGACGTGAAAGCGCGTATCTCTTTTACTCTCAACAAGCAGCGGGTGCTGTAACGCAGTCAGTTCTTCTTTTACTCTTTTACTCTTATGCTGTTTTGTGGATCACAAGGTTTAAAACTACTTATAAACACACACACACAAAGTAACTTCACCAGAGTGCCTATTTCGGGTCACTTGCCGGTCCAGGCCCGGGTAAAGGAGCAGGGTTGGAATTGTGACATTAAAAAAAAAACAATAATTGCTAAAAGAAATTTAATTTGTAGTTCTAAATAAACTCTAAATGCATTTAGGACGTTTTTTACTCACTTTATGTCTCTTCCACGATGTTATTTCTCTCTCCAACAACATAGATTACAATTAGATTAGCATGACCAATTATGCAAATTAGGCGAGGACGTCATTTAGCGACTTCTAGCGACTTTTAGGACAACCGATTTTCCTTACTGAGGAGTTGGAAACAGTGTTCACAACTGAGGAAGCAGCTTGTCTAAATCAGTTAGAAAGCTTCTGGAAGTCACCGCTTGTTGAACTAAATACTGTCAGGACATGAAACAAACCACCTTTTAACAAACAGATAAGAAAAACAGAAGAAAAATCGTGTTTTTTCGTCTTTTTAGTCAGACTAGCTGCTTTGTTTTTGTGATAAGTTGTCTCCTTGTTGTACATTTTTCAGTTGCATGAAAGACAGGTCAGTAATGTGGTATAAAAAGAGCATCTTAGAAAGGAAGAGTTTCATCAACCTATAAAAACTGCATCTCTAAATTGTGAAAAAAAATCAGAATAACATCCCTCAATGTAAAATTGTAAAGGCTTGAATATCTCATAATCTACAATACATAACACCATCAATGCATTATGAGAATGTGGAGGAATCTCTGTGCGCAAGGGACAAAGCCCAAAATCAACATTGCAGTCTTGTGATTTTCAGGCCTTAATATAGCACTGCATTACAAAAAAGTATGCCTGTGTCGTGGAAATCACCACATGGGCTCAGGAACACTTGCAGAAATTACTGTATGTGAATCATAATCATAATTTACTGTGCCAACGACAAATCCAAGTTAAAGAAAAAGAAGAACATGGTCCAGGAACACCACCATCTTCTCTGGGCAAAATGCTTTTAAAATGCACAAATTGAAAAACTTTTCTATGGTCAGATCAATTCTCTGGACTAAAGAAGAGATGGGCCTTCTAAAGGTTACACTTCTGATGGTATGGGTGTGCATTACTGACCATGAAATTGGCAACTTGCACATCTGGAAAGGCACCATCAATGCTGATAGTTATATACAGATTTTAGAGCAATGCTCTAAATGTTGATGACATTTTTTCAGAGAATTTGTTGCATAAGACTGATAAATAACATACTGGCTCTATTACAGCAGTGTGGCTTCATAGTAGAAGAGTCTTTTTATAGATCAGTTGCTGCCATCAAATTTAAAATGGGCTAATATTTGTCTTTAAAAGGTACATTTTCTCAGTTTAAACACTTGGTATGTTTTCTATGTTTTTTTGTGAATTGTTTATGAGTTCAAGAGCTTTTCATTTGGGGCTGTTTTTCATCTGCCTGAAACACACTTGCTTCTACAAAAAAGCCTCTCTAACCTTATGGCTGATTTAGTCCAATATACAATAATGTTACATTCTGCTTGATATTAGGGTTGCTAAGGTTTCAGTTGAAACTTCTGTCGATACAAGTGATTGCTCAAAATGAATTTTAGTGGCAGCCCTGTGACATACTAGCGACCTGTCCAAGGTATATCCTGCCTGTCACCCTATGGTAGCTCGAATAGGCTCCAGCACCCCTTCAACTGTGAATTGGATAAATAGAGGTGAATGGATGGAGATTTTAGTTGCCACTATATCAGCCCACCTTATGGCACATCATTTAGAGAGGGAGCTGCTGCTGCTTTGCTCTGTATGGCTCTTTCTAAAATTAAGCCCATGTGTTTCATTGTGGTAATTTGTGCTGTCTAATTGTGATAGATATAGTGTCACATATAAAACTCTCCCACTGCCTGTTACAACTGCTGACAGCTAAATCAATCTTAGCATGTTAGTTATGCTGTGCTCGCCTTTCTTTTGAAAGAAATTTGTGAAGAATGAATTTCCCTTACTTGCTGCCTTTTCTCCCGCTTGTTTTGTTTTGATTCTTTGATTTTGCTTTGATTTGTTTCATCCATGTGCAGTGAAATTGATTTCATTTAGTTAGGTTAAATCTCCTGTAGATACGTTTCTATTGGTATTGTTAAACAAATGTTAGCTTGTGTATGTCGCAGTAATGTTGGGCTAATATATGTCAAAGTGTATAAAGATTTTAAATAAAACAAATATTTGTTGTTTACACAGATGCTTTTTTGTTTTGTTTGTTTTCTTTTGTGTAACAGCAAAATGTACATTACTTAACTGTCCTGTAGCTGATGCGGTGTTTCCTGGAGGAAAAGATTATAAAAGGATGAAGAATTCTTTTTCTACAGTTAAAGCTGAAGATTCATAAAACTTCCAGAAATACCAGTAAAGTTCACCAATGTTTGACTGGTGTTTGCTATAGATCGTGCATTATGCAGTTTTCTGTGATGTCAGAGTTTATAAAAATGGTGGCATGGAACAATTTAGGTTTATATTTTAATTTTGTGCTGAATACATTTGCTGTTTAACTTGGTTAACATGTGACCATGCACAGAGTGGTCAGTAGAAGAAGGTTTAACTCAGCTGACATAGCTGCAGATGAAGATGAAGATGCAGATACATGGTACTGGACTGTGAGCACGGGGCCCACTAAAGGATGTTGGAACCTTGTGCCACCTTCACAAAGCCTTTTCCTGACAGTTTGATAACTAACATGCACAGGAATAGCCTGCTGGAGGTCATTCTGTGGGAGTCTGGCAGCTCCTCCTAGTAGAAATGAGCAGACACAGATCTTGCCCTTTAGGGTGAGGCCTTTCTATGGCCTTGTCCAACTCTCTTTGTGCAACCTCCCATCTCCTGGTATCTCCTCCATATACTCAAGACTGAGCTCGGAGACACAGCAAACTTTCTTGCATGGATGTGCCATCCTGGAGGAGTTGGACTACCTGTGCAACCAGAATTGGCTGTAAGCATCTGGGCTACCAGCAGTGACAAGAACAGTAGCTAAAAACCAAACAAAAGGAAAATCAGTCAGGAGGGAAAGTAGAGAAATGGTCTGTGGACACTGTGGCTCTCCAGTGCACCTGTTGCCACTTTTATTTATCATCACCATATGTGATGATGGCGCACAAGCGCCACATATTTAAATGTTTTCCAGAAAAAGACTCCAAACGAGGAACATTCACTGTGTCCAGTCTAATCATTTATCATCACGCTGCCACATTTAAGAAATTGTTTCCTGTTCTTCTGTTTAGTTTTAGCACAGGTTATCTACTGTAATAACATGTCTTTACCTGTTTATTCAAACTGATCATCTCTCTTCAAAACTTACAAACGTATTAAAGGTAACTGAAAACAAACCATCTGGCATCCATCAATGTAAATTCACATAAGCCTAGGCCCTGTAATGTTTCATACTTTTTATTTATTTCATGTAAAATTACGCTCTCTTTTTTTTTTTTAGACAGTCCATATTTCATTTTTATGTGTACAGCTGAACAGTGACGAAAATATCTTATTTAAGTATAAGATGGGGAAAATCCCTAAATTACACAATACTTAAAATAACAAAACTCTAAAAATTTAATTGACTTGTTATTTGTTTTATTTTCAATGTTCTTGAAAGTGAAAAAAAAGTGAGGGAAGGAAATAAGGCAAGCTGACTGCAGATTAGTGAACTTCAGTTTGGAAGCCATTTATGTGTGAACTTTATCATGGTCCTGCCTGCAGTGGAGTCACAGTGGTTACAATGGCCTAGATCAGGGGTGTCAAACTCAAATACACAGTGGGCCAAAATTCAAAACTGGAACAAAGTCGCGGGCTAACGTTAATATTTATTGAAAAAAGAATCTTCCTCTAGATATAAGAATGAATCTTTTCTTATGGATTCAAACAAGTTTTGCTGAAAAACTGAATATGGAACAAGCAAAGCTTAATACTAAACAATATATATATTAGCTGTATAATACCAGTAGGCCAGCTCTAATAGTAATTTGGTATGGCTTCGCGGGCCAAATGTAATTAGGCTGCGGGCCAAATTTGGCCCGCGGGTCAGAGTTTGACACCTATGGCCTAGATTAAAAACGCAACTCAAAAATAATACTGTCATTTCCAATATTTCTAAACCATCATGATCTGAGGCTGCAGATTGTGTGAGACCAATCAGTGAGCACCAGAATGAAGACCACACAGGAGAGATTGGTAAAAGAAAACAAGACGTTTATTTTGTATTTTGGCTGACACAATAAACAAGACAAACCTAAATGCAACAGGGAACCTGAACTGGGAAAATACTTTATAGAAGCAGGGGCGATTTTAGCTCATTTTTGGGGGTGCTTCAGCATTTTGGGGGTGCTTCATCACCCCCCAAAATAAATCAAAGCACCCCCAAAGATTTCTTACTTTTTTTTGAAAATATTTGCTGTTTGTGGGACACACTACTAAAAATATAAAAAGC